CCGGGGGAGAGGGGGGGGAGGGCCGGCGCCCCCGACGGCCCGGCCCTGCCGCAGCCCCCTCCGCCACCCCCCAACAGCAACTTCATCCGCACAGCAGCCTCGGGTGCCCAAACCTGGCAGCCAGAGCCGCGAGCCCCCAATGGGCTCCTCTTCAACAACAACCACGTGGTGGTGAGCAAACCCCTGGCTTGGGGCAGCGGGCTGGAGCGCGGCTTCTCTGAGCTCAGCATCCCCCACGCAGCAGCGCTGGAGCAGATGGAGTGCACAGCCATGCTGACCGGGCATGGCTCCGGCACTGTGCTGGAGCAGAACGAGGTGCTGCCCTGCCCCGACTGCTGCCTAGGTCCCTTCAGCTTCAGCTTGGCCTCCATCTGCCACCGGCCGACACCCAGCCCGCCCCACTACCAGAACCTCAATTGCGAGGCCAAGAGCCTCCTCTGCCACGACCGGGGCTGCCACCAGAAAGCCCCAGGGCCAGTGCTGGCGGAGCCCAGCTTGAAGCTGCCGGAGGCATAGTCCTAGTGCTGGGGGCCCCTGAGAAGCAGGGCTGCATCTGGCCGCCCCTCAGACCCCCTCACAGATGCAGCACTGGGCAGGTGCAGGAGCCTGGCGCATCCCTGCAGTCTGTCCTCGCTTGCTCAGCACTTGGTAGCTGCGGTGCCCTGTGCCATGGCCACCATGATGCTGCTCAGGCGCCCCTCCCGCCAGGATTGTCCTCAGAGGTCTGTGGGGAGCCCCAGGGGTGGGCTGGGTCCCTGCCAGGGACTGAAGTGCAATAACACCCCTGCCCCGGGCACACTCCAGCACTGCCCTGGGCAGCAGAGCTGGTCCCCCGCAGGGCCCCCAGGGCTCAAGCCCTGGATGCGGGACCCCCCCTTCCCCAAGGGCTCACCCCTCTGCAGGCTCTTGCCAAGGGGTGTGCAATGAGCTTGGAGCCCCCCGTGGCCCCCCCAGGCCAGGGGGTGAGTGGGGCTGGGCTGGGGGCAGAGGGGTCAGTGTGCATATGTGTGTGTTGGGGGACCCTGTGGGGCTGGTGGGTGTCCCCATGCTTCCTCACAAGCATGGGGAGCACACCCAGTCCCTGACATGGGGAAAGGCGTGCAGGGGACTGGGAAAGGGGCAATACCCATGGGGCAGTGCCCAGGGAGGATTGCCAGTGCTGGGGCTGCCCCCTGCCTGCCCAATGACGAGGGCTGGTTGCTGAGCCGTCACAGTGCCCTGTGTCCCCCTGGCACGGGGTCAGGAGCGGGGTGCTGGCAGTGGACGCCGTGGCCGGGCTGCCCAGCCCCTGGCAAGGGTGGGAACCGGCTTTCCTCCCCTCCACACAATGCACTGGTGAATGCAAAACTCTTGTGTTTTATATTATTATTAATAATAATTCCTAGTAATATATACCCAGCTTATTTAAAAGTGTTCAATAAAACCTGAATGTCCCAGCAACCCGGGCTGCCGCTTCTGTCTCTCAGATGCATGTTGGACGGGGAGGGGAGCCCCACCCCAGAAGGTGGCACAGGCTTGTCCAGGGCTTCTGGGGTCCCCCCTTGGGGACCATGAGCCAGCCTGGCTCAGCCCCAGGTCTTAATGCCCCCAAAGTGACCATTTCTGTTGAAATCGCTTCAGTCAAATTCCCATTTATTATTTAGGTTCGTGGGGTTCGTGCCCTTGAGTCTGTGTTTGTGGTGGTACACAAGAAAGCAAAGAGCAGACAAGCTGTGTCTCTTTATTGCTACAAAGTGGGTTCAGCTAGCGGACAAGACAGTGACACGTGCCACCTCCAAAACACCTGCCTTTAACACCCTTTTGCTCTTCAAGCAAGCTAATTCACATAGCAATTAATCAACTATATATGGCATGCACAACCCCATAATAAACTGAGAGCATCTTCGCCTGGTTGAACATTACTTCCTCTGCTCTTGCCTGGCTGCAGTGTTACATTAGGGCTATTTTGCTTAATCTTTGCACATGCACGTGTGTAGTAACTATTTAAAGTCCTGATGATTTGTCTTGCAAAGCATCTGTCTGCTGCAAGTGCTTTTGCTTTTGAAAGGCACTGTCACATAGTACAATCCTAAAGGTCACTGCTCTACTTCCTAATTAGCAAAAACACCCCAACTGCCAGCACAGGCGCCGGCCAGTTCAGGTGCAGCTTCTCTCCTTTGCCAAGGCTGTTGCTTGCTGGGTTGCCTGAAAGCTGGGGCCAAGCTGCTCCCGGGATGGGGCCAGGCAGAAAGTCCCTGCCATGGGGAGGGGACCTGGCCAGGTGCGGGGCTGTGCCATCCCCTGCTCCCACGTCCTTGCATCCCTGCACCACAGCTCGCTCCATGCTGGGGCTGTTGCACAGCTGCAGTGCTGAGCATCAGAGCTCGCTCCACTCTGCATCCATGGTGCGCCAGCCCCTGTGCTCAGGAAGACCCTGTACCCTGTGCAGGTGTGGGGCTGAGCTGTGGGGCCCATACCACTCTGCTGAAGCATGTCAGCTGGGGGGAAACAGTCACTGCCACCGCCACCGAGCATCACTGTGGCCAGGGGAGCATGCAGGAAGGACCTGGGTGGCCCCTGGGCAGGGGTCTGCAAGAGGGAAGGGGGTTGCTCGTGTGGATGGGACATCCCAGGCAGGGGTTCAGCAATGCTGAAACAGAGGCAGCATGGGGCGCGGGTGCTGCAAGGGAAGGCAGAGGGTGAGGGTGAGGTGCTGCCCAGCCTCCCCTGCATGCAGTGAGACTGGGAAGGCAGCTTGCAAAGGGGTTTCCCCCATCTTGCCCCTTTGCTGCCCCACAGCTTGGGTGGGGGGGGTGTCTCTTGAGCTACCGCAGACCAGGGGCTGCTGTGGCAGCGAAGGGATGGAGGCAGGCTCTGTCCAGCATGGGATGTGCCTGCATCCTTCTCCCTTTCCTGCCAAGCCAGGGGTCAACATGCCTCACGCAGAGGCTCAAGCTCCCTGCTTTCCTCCATGCACATCCCATGGGCCCCACGCACCCCAGGGCACGGCAGAGCCTGGCATGGGCACACTCACCGCAGCGGTGCCAGGGCCAGCAGCCATCGTCATATGAAAGGGGAGCTTGGCCCTGCCACCTTCTCGCAGATCCAGAGGTGCAAGTCATCAGGACCGGCGCACTGGGTGGGTTTGATGTTCCCACGGCTTATTATGGCACAGGACCCATTCAACTTTGACTGCCATGGCCTGGATGGAGAAATGGCACATCAGGGGGCTGCCACCCCACTATCCACTATCCCCTGCCAAGGGCTGTAGGCAGCCTGGGCCACCTACGGGTTCCCTCTTGCATGCTCGCTGGGCAGGGGTTGAATGCTGCAAAGCAGGGATCCCCCAGTCCTCCCCTACTGATTTCACAGGCTGAAGCCTCAGCCGATGTCCCTGTCCTCCCTCGGGCAGGCTGAGAAACCCCTCTGCCTGAGGTTTGCATTACTTGTGACTCCCTTTAGCCTCCCCCCTGCTTGAATCTCAGCCTTGCAGCTGGGGGATATTTCATCCCTGCAGCACCTGGTGGTGGGGAGAGCCCAGTCCTCCCCGAGGGCACGTGGATGGCTGGAGGAGCTGCCCATCCGGCAGCTGCAGCACTGCTCTGGGCTGTGGGGCTGAGGATGGAGGGGCAGGCAGCGAGCAGGGGCTGGGTACCCAGCACCTCGGCCAGATAGGTCTGTTCCTCCCCACTGCTCTCAGGCACCGCAAGAGGAAGTGGTGGTGAGCTGGGGAGAGGGTGCACATGGCGGGGAGGAGCCCAGGACCCTCTGCGGGCGGGAAGGCTTGATTTCCCCTCGAGGAGGGATCGGGGTGGCACGTGGATGAAGGGGGCTAGGGTGACCCTTCTCACTGCTTCTTGCTCATGCAAGCTCTGCACATGCCCCCCCCAAGGCTTGACTGTCCTTTTGCATGGCCTTCGAGCATTTCATCACACTGCTGCACCTGCCTCCCTTTGGCCTCAGCTGCTTTGATGCTCTTTGTTGCACAGTTCTTGTGCCCGGGACTGGGTACTATTGGGATTTAAAATGCTTCCTAAAGACGTGCTGGAGGAGATGGGGTTTTGGCAAGAGGCTGTGCCACCAGGTACCTTTCATAAAGGGAACCGTCCACCCAGAACCAGGCATCTGAGATCCCCTCGCCTTCCGGGTCCCCTTCCTCCAGCCAGCTGTAGTCGTACCAGGGGAAGCTGCTCTTCTGCAGCCTGATCCAGTATGGGATGTCTGCATTCTTCAGGAAGGTCTGAGGAAGGGGAAAAAGGGCCTTTTCATGGCTTTTCCACAGCATCTACGGACTGCAGTGTCTGCAGGGGGTAGTCATCTCCCCAAGGAGCCCCTGGGGCCAGAGCTCCATGGGGCAGGACAGCTGAGCAGCCCCAGTGCCCCGCTCCAGCCTGGGCAGCATCCAGGGGTGCCAGAGCCTCTCCATCCCACATCCACCACCAGCCATGTGCTCCAGTGATCGGCCTTGCACCCTCCAATGTTTTGGCAGGGTAGGGGCCCCCAGAGTGGTGCTGGCCCACCTGGGGATCCCAGGGCTGGATGCACCAGCTCCTGCCCTTGGCTCCCCCAGCACCCTATCGGCACAGTCCAGCAACTCCAGGATTTGGTGACCAGGAGCTGAGAATATTTCTTCTCGCACTTGTCTCTGCTGTCCTCCCATGTCTTCTTCTCCAACGAGATGAAGAGGCACTTGCCCCTGTACAGCAGCCAGCCTGAGGGGCAGCAGTCTGGGGCAGGGGCAGCTACGGTGCCTTGCTCAGCCACAGATGCCCGGGGGGGGGGCCCAGCCTGGACCAGGAACAGCCCCCACATCTCCCCAGCAGACATCGCAGGCTCAGCCTCTGCTCCAGGCATAGCTTCAGCCTTTGGACCACCCCGTCCCCACCACACGGCCAAAAAGCCAGTGCTCATGCCTTGGCACTGCATCTGCTGAGGGGGTGCTGGGGTCCCCTGGGGCACCCCATCCCTGGTCCACCATTGCCCTACCTATAGCCACGCAGGAGCGCAGAATGGCCACAGTGCTCTCACTGTTGTTGAGCTTCCCCTGCACCTCCTGCATCTCCTTCTCCATCTTCCCCAGGACACCCATGATGCGCACCAGCTCTGCATCCCGGCTCCCCAGCTCCAGCTGGCTGCTGTTGCCTTCCTGCCATGCTCGCTGTAGCTCCGCTCTGGCCCACGCCAGCTCCAGCTGCATCTGTTCCAGGCTCTGCTCCTGCGCACTCACCTCCTGTGAGAGGTGGCCCCACTCGGCCGCGTGCTCGCAGGAGGCATCCTGCAGGCTGCGGGTGACCTGCCAGTCTGGGGGCAGTCTAGATGAGCTGGGGCATGGGGATGGGACAGCCCGAGCAGGGGGACACAGGACTGACCCTGCTCAAGGGGTAGTGTGGGCATGGCTGGGTTGGGCAAGGCAGGGAGGTGTCCATGCTGGATGGGAAAGGATGGGAAAGACAGCACAGGGAAGTGTATGGTCCTGGGCAGGATCTGGCAGGGGAGAGCAGGGCAAGGCAGGGCAGGGTGTAGGAGCAGACAGAGAAGGGCAGGGACAGGGAGAGTGCAGCAATATGAGGCTGGGCAAGGCCTGGAAGGGAAGGGAAAGGAGCAGAAAGGGAGAACAAGGTGGGGAAGATGGGTGATGGGAAGCAAAGGAGGCACCCATGACATACTAGGGATACAAGACAGTGTGGGGCAGATGGGGCAGAGGGACCTAGCCCCAAGCAATTTATGTGGGCATCCCTCTATTCACCCACTTATTCACCCACGGCCCACCCTAGCCCAGCTGCCTCCCTCTCCCTGTGCTGCCCAGCCACCCCCAGCCCTGACAGCACCCACCCCCCTGACTCAGCAAGCCCCCAGGGCCACAGTGGCCACCAGCAGAAGCAGGCAGGTTGCCAGCAGTCCCACAGGGATGCACCACCACCGGGACCAGCACCCTGCAAGACACAACCAACCACGGGCATCACCTGCTGCCACCTCCAACTGGAAACCAGGAAACCCTTGGCAGCCCCCAGACCTCCCGCCTGCAGGCAGCAGAATGGCAGTGTGATGGCACAGGTGGCACGATGTAGGCACTTCCTCTCTTCAAGGATGGGAGCGGGAGCACCCTGAAACACCACCCACTACCCGAGCCAGGACCTCCCCGAGTCCCCTGGGCTCCAGCCGGGCACTCACCTGGGCTGGGCTGGGCCCTGTCCCCATCCTGTCCCACTGGCGCCAGCTGCACATTCTCATAGGGGCTCTCTGCCTCGTCCATGCCAAGGGCTGTTGGAGGAAGGCAGGGGAGAGTGGCTGAGTCCATGGGGCTGGGCATGGTGGGGGCATCAGGAGCGTTCCCACGGGCTCTCACCTACCTCCAGTGCCTGGCTGGCCGCGCTCTGGCCCCTCATCACCTTGGCAAACCTCAGGTCAGCATAAACCATGATCTGGGCCATGTGGGCAAGCGCTGGGCAAGCCCTAAGCCCTGCTGCCTCCCACCCTGCCTTTGGGATGCCTTTTGGAGATGGTCCTGCTCCCCTGTGATTGCGCCGTCTCTTGGAGGTGCAAAGGAGAAGTGCGGCCAGCGTCTGCAGAAGCAGAAGTTTGCTCTGAGCTGTAGCAGATGGGACCAGTGAGGCATGGCTGTGGGGACCAGCACCCTCTCATTGGTCCGTCCCCTCCCACGCTCTGAAAGTGTTCACGGTCCCACCAGGCACGCAGCAGGTCCAGGGCAGCGCAGTCTGAGGTCAGGGCACTGACAGAGCAAGGATGGACCCAAATCCCTGGGCCAGGGGAGAGCTGGAGGAGAGCAGGGCCATCCTGGACACAGGAATACATTGCCCTGGGGCCAGCCCTGTGGAGGGCTGAAGGTCTCTGCGGATGCAGCTTTCCCCTCCCAGACTCTGGGTATGGGAATTTCCCCATGATGTAGTTTGTGCCACTGCCTCTCATCCTCTCCCTGGTCCCCTCCTAGAAGACCCCAGCTCCAGCATCACTCCAAACTCCCACCAGAGAGTTGCAGAGAGCAATGACACCCACTTTGCCTTCCCTTCCCCAGACCATAACCCCAGCACTCACAGCATCTCCTCCTTGGTCCCAACCTCCAGCCCCTCATCATCTCAGAGGCCTCTACTGAACCACATCCAGAGAAAGGCACGTTTCGGAGAGGGCCACTGAGCTGGGGACCAGCTGGACATAGCTGGACACAGCCAGTTCCTGGGACAGGACTGGAGGCATGCAGGGGTGCTGGTGGAGCACAGCATTGAAAGCTCTCCATCATCTCTACAAGAGTAGAAGTACTTCATGACTGGAGAAAGGCAAAAATCATGGCTAACTTCAAAGAGGGCAAGAAGGAGGTTTGGAAAGCTAAAGGTTGAGCAGCTTCCACCCAATCCCCAGAAAAGAGATGGGGTACGACCTGGGCACATGATGGTCCAGGCCCACGGAGGACATGGTGGTGGCTGGGGGGAGCCCAGTGGGATTTACCAAGGGCAAGTGGTGCCTGCCCAAACTGCCTGCTGCCATGGGAGCACTGGGCTGGGGATGAGGGGAGAGCAATGGGGGCCATTTATTGTGACCCTTCAAGGTCTGGGACATGGTTTCCTATGGTGTCCTCACTGGCAGAGTGGGGAGATGTGGCCAGGAGAAGGGGAGAAGAGCAAGAGCTCAAGCTGCAACATGGAAACTCCTTTTAGGCATTAGGGCAAACATTTCTGCACAACAACAATGCTCAAACCCCGGAGCAGAGCACAGAGAGGGGGAACCTCCATCCTGGATGGGGCCAGCCCCAGAGCAACCTGTTCCCATGTCGAAGTCGGCCCCTCTCTCCCCTGTCCCAGTGATTTGGGTCAGTTCTCGGTACACTGAGACCTGCAGCTCTGCCATGGCCCAGCCGAGTGCCCCAACCCCAAGCTGCACCACCCCACTGTGGTCCCAGGGGACCCTGAGTGGTTTCGGGCCATGGAGATGGACAGGATGGCAGCACTGGGGCCAATGGCAGGCTGCCGGGCCCCACAGCCGTGGTTTCCTGCGCCTATCTTCTGCACTTCACAGCAAACTTCTGCTTCTGCAGAATCCGGCTGCACTTCTCCTTTGTAGCCCTGAAAGAGGGGGTGACTGCAGCGGAGCAGGAGCCACTGGGACGGTCAGGGCAGCCCAGGGCATGGCCTATAGCGTGGTCTATGAGGACCTGAGATCTGCCATGGCTCCACCGCTCACCCCCCCCCCCTGCCCCCCCG